TTTTTGAGATGGAGTCTTGTTCTGCTGCCCAGGCTGGAGTGCAGTTGCATGATCGGCTCACTGCAACCTCCACTTTTCAGGATCCAGTGATTCTTCTGCCTCAGCCTCCTGAGTAGCTGGAACTACAGGTGAGCACCACCCTGCCCAGCTAATTTTTGTATTTTTAGTAGAGACAGGGTTTTACCACATTGGCCAGGCTGGTCTTGAAATCCTGACCTCGTGATCCACCCACCTCGACCTCCCAAAGTGCTGAGATTATAGGTGTGAGCAACTGCGTCTGGCCCCAAGTTTATTAAACGCATTAATGCAATATCCAACAAATTAAAGGGTAGGTACTTTGAGGAAGTAGAGCCTGCCCCCTTTAAAAGTAGGACAAGCTACACTTTCAGAATAGGGAAAAAATGTATCTGAGGGATTTATTAACACTTAGCAAGGGCAGGATTTAAATAGGTTGAGCAGCAAAAGAGTTTTTCTAGAAGTTTTATTTACTTTTATTTAATTGCAGTCTAAAGATGTCTTAAAGTGAGCGTTTTCATATAAATAATTTACAGAAAAAAGTTCTTTACAAAGCCACAGATCTCATTCAGTTAGGTAATATGGTTTTCTAGTTATTATGGGAAAGGTTAACACTTAATTGGGTCTCTATAATGCTATAAAATTACCCTCACCACATGAAGCTCTGTACAGATGACAAAGAGAATGTATACCTCTTCATAAGTGACCACATATACTCTTGAATCCTCCTGAATCCATAATCACTCTCAGACCTGTGTGAAGCTTGGTTCTTAAGGTGAGATTCTTAAATTCAAGTTAGGCCAGGCATTGTGGCTCAATCCTGTAATCCCAGCATGCTGGCAGGCCAAGGTGAGGCTATGAGATCATGTGAGGCTACAAGTTCATGACCAGACTGGCCAACAGAGTAACACCCTGTATCTACTAAACATACAAAAAATTAGCTGGGCATGATGGTGCACACCTGTAACCCCAGTTATTCAGGAGGCTGAGGCATCAAAATTGCTTGAACCTGGGAGGCAGAGGCTGTGGTGAGCCGAGATCATGCCACTGCACTACAGCATATGCAACAGAGCAAGACTCCATTAAAAAAAAAAAAACAAAAAAACAATCAGGTCAGGCATGGTGGCTCATTTCCATAATCCCAGGATTTTGGGAGGCTGAGGCAGGCAGACCACTTGAGGTCAGGAGTTCAAGACTAGCTTGGCTAACATGGTGAAATCGTGTCTCTACAAAAAAAAAAAAAAAATTATCTAGGCATGGTGGCACATGCATGCATAATCCCAGCTACTTGGGAGGCTGAGGGAGGACAATCACTGGAACCTGGAAGGTAAAGGTTGCAGTGAGCGGAGATCACACCACTGCACTCCAGCCTTGCCAACAGAGCAAGACTCCTATCTCAAAAAGAAATAATAATAATTCAAGTTATGTTGTACAGATTAGGTTTTAAAAATTAAGCTTTATTAATTTGGCTCAGCAATTTAAATTCTTGCTCTGATGACTTGTAAGAACAGAAAAGTAGCTGATGACAACTGCATTTTCAACATAAAAGGATTCCATGTTAATGACATAGCTGCCTGTCTAATTTGCAATGGAAATATCTTGTTTTAAAGAATGTATAGAGGTACTATAAGAGTATATATGTTTTAACATTAAGTAGCTAGTAAGACTAACAAGAAAGAAAAAAGAGCAAAATAAACAAGCTTCAGAAAAGTATTAGCAAACAACAGTATTTGCTGAATAGCACTGGGCGCCGTGGCTCACACCTGTAATCCCAGCTCTTTGGGAGGACAAGTTGGGAGGATCACCTGAGGTCAGGAGTTCAACACCAGCCTGGGCAACATAGGGAAACCCCGTCTCTACAAAAAATAAAAAACTCAGCCAGACATGGTGGTGTTCGCCAACAGTCCCAGGGAGACTAAGGCAGGAGGATCACTTGAGTCTGGGAGGTCAAGTCTGCAGTGAGCAGTGACTGCACCACTAGGCTCCACTCTAGGTGCAAGTACAAAATAAATACAAACCTCCACGCTGCTTCAAAAAAAGAAAGGAAGGAAGGAAAGGAAAGAAAGAAAGACAGATGTGTTGCATAGTAAAGCATTAAACCTCAATACTGCAGTGGGTATGAAAATTATGTAGGTGCTGAAATTTAAATTCTAAAAACAAAAAAAATCTAAGTGTAGACAGATAAAGTGTTTCTTGATAAAGATAAAATGGCTTAAAAATTTTAATGCAGTTCAGAAAAGATGTAATTTTCTAGACTTGACCCATATGCTGAAAAGACTGCTCACTGCTGGCATATACTGGGATTGGAGAAAACAGAAATGATGTGGGAGAAGATGTGGGCAAGAGCAGATCATTCTGGATCTCAGAAATTTTAGAAAGAATAATACTGTGGGATGCAGTAGGAACAATTATCCGTTTATGGCAAGGCTGCCAGGGCAGTTTTTAAACAGGTAAGAATGAATTCTCATATTGCATAGGCCCTTAGGATACCATCTGGAAAGTTTAGTTGGTGGTAATAACATTAATTTAAAGGTTTTGAGCAGTTTTGATAAATTGAGTACAAAGGCTATTTTATACTACCACATTCTTCACAATGTCAGAGGAACTGGCCCAAGAAATTTATATGATTACTGATCTGAAGTTAGTTAGGTTAGTTCAGGTGTAAAGAATGTTTATTTACTTAATTTTTTTTTTTTTGAGATGGAGTCTCGCTCAGTCGCCCAGGCTGGAGTGCAGTGGCCGGATCTCAGCTCACGGCAAGCTCCGCCTCCCGGGTTTACGTCATTCTCCTGCCTCAGCCTCCCAAGTAGCTGGGACTACAGGGGCCCGCCACCTCGCCTGGCTAGTTTTTTGTATTTTTTAGTAGAGACGGGGTTTCACGGTGTTAGCCAGGATGGTCTCGATCTCCCGACCTCATGATTCACCCGTCTTGGCCTCCCAAAGTGCTGGGATTACAGGCTTGAGCCACCATGCCCCGCCTTATTTACTTATTTGAAAGGACATTAACTTGTGGCCAAAGGCCAAAAGGGCTTCTCTAGGGACATTCAGTTTAAAAAAAATAAAAAACTCAGCCAGACATGGTGGTGTTCTCTTTCATATGCAGTATGTGCAGACTTCACACTAAAGATAACTGAGATACATGCATAGGACTTGGCCACCTAACCATGAAACACATAGTATAGAAATGGAAAATAGGTGGCTTAGTGGCTCTTAAAACAGGAGGAATCTGAGGCCATATCCAGGTCTCTGATATAAACTAGTGATGCCTTACAAATAAATATGGTGATATTTGTACCAGTTAATTACCTCTTTACTTTAGTATACTCATTTAGAAGTCTATTAAATTATTATAGAATAAGAACACATCATCACACTTCTAAGGAAAAGAGAAACAACAAATCTGAGTTGCGCAATTTTCTAAAACATATTATGATACAGCATATATGCTATAAGTACTACAGTATACATATGCTAATTTAATATAGCTATCTCATCAACATTTCATGTGGGCTCAAGAAAAAAATAAATACAAAACCTCAGTTTTTAGTTCTGATAAAAATGAAAGATGGTGTCACATGAACTCTGAATTTTTCCATATTAAGGATATCTATCGGGCCGGGCGCGGTGGCTCACGCCTGTAATCCCAGCACTTTGGGAGGCCAAGGCAGGTGGATCACGAGGTCAGGAGATCGAGACCATCCTGGCTAACACAGCGAAACCCCGTCTCTACTAAAAATACAAAAAATTAGCTGGGCGTGGTGGCGGGTGCCTGTAGTCCCAGCTACTTGGGAGGCTGAGGCAGGAGAATGGCGTGAACCCAGGAGACAGAGCTTGCAGTGAGCCGAGATCGCACCATTGCTCCAGCCTGGGCAACAGAGCGAGACTCCATCTCAAAAAAAAAAAAAAAATGGATGTCTATCACGGTTCCTAACTTAAGAAAAAAAAAAAAGATCAATGAAAGCTTACTTGTTTTAACTCTAAATGTTTTACTCTAGAGAGAAAAAATACCTAAAGAAAGAGAGCTACTTACTTACACAGTCTAATTACATTTCTGAAGGGTGAGAAAGCAAGCTTTTCTCCTTTACAAGCTGAACTCAGTATCTAAAAATTATTTTGACACAGGTCTACTGCTTATTAGCCTAGTGATTGCTGACCCCAGCTAGAATATAGCTGAACAGTTAAACACTCTGCTGCTTTTCTAATTTCCTTTTTCTAAGACTTCCTTACTTCATAGAAAGAACTTTTGGAGCTAATTCTGAGCTTAATGGTTATAGAATGTTACAACAGAATTAATCCCTATTTACAAAATGAATTCCTTTACAGGCAGTCTTATGAATTACTGCCACTGAAATTATGGGTAAAAGTAACAGGTGCGAAAGTCACAAGTTCTACTTGACATTGGCAAAATCTAGCTGTGTAACCTGGACAGGTCACTTATCCTCTTTGGCTCTCAACTTCCTCATCTATAAAACAAAGGGACTGAAACTCCATAGCTGCTAAAGTCCCTTTCATTGTCCCAATTCTATCTGTCCTTTCTCTAACTGAATGAGAAGAATTCTAAATCAAAATACAAAAAACAAAACATAATTCAACAACAACAACCACCACCCTTAAAATTACTGCAACAACCGTTAAAATTACTGCCACCGGCCTGACGATGGTTGCACAGAGTTAAAGGTCGACTATGGCGGTTTATACCGTTTACAAGGTTACAAGTCAAAAAGGCCTGTTACTAAAGCACATCATTCAAGTGGCTTCAATGTCAGATTTCCACACAAAGATGATCCAAACACCACTGAGTTGCAGTGGAAAAGTACTAGCCTGAGAGTCGGGTTTTAGCTTGATTCAGAGGCTTTTCTTAGGTAAGTAATTTAACATCTCTTGGTCTTGATTTTCTCAGGTATAAAATGACAACGTTACACTATATTATCTCTAAGACCTTTCCTCAAACCAAAACTCTGTGTTTCTACATGGTTATTCCCAACCTACCCTTTTGTAATGCATTCCTTCCAAAAACAGCTTGGTCTGTTTATAGATTTCTTGGCCTGTCTTGTGGAAGGTCTTGAGAAATTCTATGAACTCCTTAGACACTCTATCCGTTTCAATGCTGGTTTGCCGGTTTATGGAAGGACTGGGAGCTTTTGCTTCCTGAATTTCTGCTGGGAAAATTAAACATAGTAAGTTTCATGACATAAAAGATCCATTCATGGAATTACTTTAAGTATGTAACTTAAGGTTATTTAAATTATGTTTCATCAAAGTTAAACTTGAATTTAAATCATTTTATGTTTGAATGGTTGGACAAATTTCCTTAAAGTAAACTAAATCTGTTTTACAAGTAGGAAGTATGAGTAGACAAAACTACATTATCTAAAAGATATTCCTACTGAAATAAAAGTTGTTCTATTAGCATTTTCTTTGCCAAAATATATCATGCTTTGATCTATATATTCAATCATGAACACTGAAATGGCACCACTAGGCTTCTCAAAGACTGCTTGAGTTTATAAAACTAGTCAACAAATAGAAAAACAATCAATAGAAGCACTGAAATGTCAGATGACTTATAAATGTTAGACAACCTTTCCAAATCCCATTTTACTTGACAAAAAGGCAAAGGTTAATGTGTTTATGTGGAGACTCACAATTATTTACCCACCATTTCGTTGGTGAGTCATACTGATCAAAGTGAAAGAATGCATCCGAAGTGTTAATAGCATGATGAACACGACAAAACACACAATGAAGAGACAAGGGAAACATGCACCACACTATCTGATCAGCTGGGCAGACAACTCTTTCCCCTCTTCAAATAAACACACTGAAAGGAAAATGGGACATTTACACAAGAGAGATAAGGATGTTGTAACAGGCAGTACGTGCTTTTAGAAAGTACGAACTACCACTTGGTCTCTGATCACATTCTAAACCTCCTGATTTTGAACTATGCTCTCTAATGTTTATAAGGAATTTAAGTTCCCCATATCCCAATGATTTCCTAAAAAGAAAAATAATTTTTTAAAAAAGTACGTTTTATTTTTTTTTGAGATGAAGTCTTGCTTTGCCACCCAGGCTGGAGTGCAGTGGCATGATCTCAGCTCACTGCAACCTCCACCTCCCAGGTTCAAGCAATTCTCCTACCGAGCTACTCAGTCTCCAAGTAGCTGCTCTCTCTACAAAAAGTAAGAACATTAGCCAGGCATGGTAGTGCATACCTATAGTGCCAGCTATTTGGGGGGGCTGAAGCAGGAGGATCGCTTGAGCCCAGGAGTTTGACACTGCAGTGAGTTATGAGATCGCCCTACTGCACTCCAGCCTGGGCGACAGAATGAGACCTTGTCTTTTCAAAAAAAAAAAAAAAAAAAAAAAAAAGTAAGGTATGTACACTGTGCTGTTTTATGTAAAATGGGGTAGTGGGATAAGAATATATGTGTTTATAACTCAGAATAAAAGCACAAAAGGATACACAAGAAAGTAATAACAAAAGTTGTCTGAAAGTGGGAGAAACAAAGCAGTGGTGCTTAGGAACTAGATGGGCAAGAGACAAACTAGAAACGAAACTTCTGACCATACCTGTTAGCGCCATTTGGATATACTACCTATTTTTTAAGCACATAAATAAATCATGTACAATCTAATTCAAAACAAAAAAGGGAACATCTTTTCTAAAGTATTTTTTATCTCAATTGAAAACCAAAGATTGTGCTGACATCGGTATGATTAGAAAAAAATTCTTTAGTGTTTGGAAGTGAATCCTCCTCTGTCTGATAATTCCGCTTCTAGTCATGATGGAAAACTCTGATCGCATCAGGTTTACCTACTATCTTAACAATTGGAAGGTCAGACAAATATATGAACGAAAGGTTTTCAGACACTGGATGACAGGCAAACAGCAGATTAACTCCTGAAAGAAGGAAAACAAACACAGTCTGTCCTAGAGTGTCCCAGCTCACTGCTGGGAGAGTTTTAAAGTCTTGGCACAGGGAGCGGCCACTCAAACAGAGCATAGCTGACTTGCTGAATTGAGGAGACAGCATTTGGAGTTCTGGGAGGCCAATGTGACCAGAATTTGCAAGGCAAAATATGCAAATGCTATGGAGGGGAGAGGGCTACACAGAAAAAGCTCCAGGTAACTGCAGAGGGTTCCCTTGAGTGTGGCTGAGTACTGCACATGCGTATGAGGAAATTACCCAAGATGAGAGAAAGAACCACCAAGTAACATGTAGAACCACAGCACAAAGGACGGGAGGAAGAAATATAAGAATCCTGTTTAGGGAGGGGAACATCATACACTGGGGCCTGCTGGGTGGTGGGGGACAAGCGGAGGGATAACATTAGGAGAAATACCTAATGTAGGTGACAGGTTGATGGGTGCAGCAAACCACCAGGGCATGCATATACCTATGTAACAAAACTGCACGTTCTGCACATGTAACCCAGAACTTAAAAGTATAATAAAAATATATAACAAATTACATGTAAAAAATTCCATTTAAGATTCTTTTCTGTAAAGTGGTATAATACTATCGTTTTAAATTTTTTCTTTTTTCTGTAAAGTGGTATAATATTACTTGAAGGTAGATGATAAGTTAAAGATGTATTCTGTAAACCCCAGAACAACCAGTAACAGAACAAAGAGGTATAGCTAACAAGCTGATAGTGGAGATAAAGGTGTGGTCATAAAGAAGGCAAGAAAAGAGGAGAAAAGGAACTAAGACAAGATGAGATAAACACAAAGAGCAAGATGGCAGGGGTAAACTTTCCCTTATCAAAAATCACATTAAATATATGTGCTATAAACAGTCTGATTAAATGTCAGAGATTATCAGATTAGATTAAAAAACAAGACCCCATTTCATGTTGTCTGTAAGAAATTAACTTTAAATATAAAGATACAAACATGTTAAAAACTAATGAAAGGGAAAGGATACTCTGAAACAATGAAAAAGAGCTTAAGTGGTTACACCAATGTTAGACAAAGTAAACTTAAGAACATGGACCATACTGGCCGGGAGCAGTGGCTCATGCCTGTAATCCCAGCACTTTGGGAGGCCAAGGCAGGCAGATGACAAGGTCAGGAGATCAAGACCATCCTGGCTAACATGATGAAACCCCGTCTCTACTAAAAATACAAAAAATTAGCCGGGCATGGTGGTGGGCGCCTGCAGTCCCAGCTACTCGGGAGGCTGAGGCAGGAGAATGGCGTGAACCCGGGAGGCAGAGCTTGCAGTGAGCTGAGATCTTGCCACTGCACTCCAGCCTGGGCAACAGAGCAAGAGTCCGTCTCAAAAAAAAAAAAAAAAAAGAACATGGACCATATTACCAAGAACAAAAGGGCATCTCATCATAAAAAAGGGGTTCATTTTTCCAGAAGACACAGCAATCCTAAATATGTATATACTAATAACACTGCTTCAAAACACAAAAAACAAAATCTGACAGAACTGAAAGGAGAAACAAATTTGGACATTTCAATATTCCTCACTCAGTAATTGACAGAAAGGTGATTTTTAAAAAGTCACTAAAGACAGAAGACTTGAACAATGCAATGCTATCAACCAATTTGACCTATCTGACTCTGACAGAACACTCAACCCAATAAAAACATAATACATATTCCATCTGACAAAATAATAATGGTAGTAACTTACATATAGATAATGTCTATTAAGCACTAAGTACTTTTACAATGCTATTTTGTATAATCCTCACAAGTCTATCGGGTTATACACTTATGATATTTACAAATGAGGAAGCTGAGGCTTGAATATGTTAAGTAACTTGAATAACGTTGCAGTCACTTATACAGTAAAGACTGGAATTTGAACCCAGCTCTGTGCACTTAAATCCAAGGCCTGAGCTGTTGACTATGCTGCAATTACCTCAGTAAGCCAAAGAGAGGACTGAAGACTCTTCAGAAGAACACCAATCCCTCTGACTTTGGAGGTCTGTAGGCCAGTCAAAGACAGGAAAACCCTACTCATTTCCTTTATTGCTTTGCTTACAATATGCTTCCCTCCCACATATACTTATCCAATGAGACACTTCTACTTTAAAAAAAAAAAAAAATCCCCTTTTAAAATGTAAATGAGGATTAATTCTATTAGCTAGTTACGATCATACAAGTTACTAAAATCAACACTTGGTTGTTTTTCTCTAAGCTTCCTAAAAATTAACCCCTACTAAGAGGCTAGAAGTTTGGATTAGAGAGGGGAAAGTGAGAGACGGTTCAGGTGTTCGGTACACAGGGAGGACGTGAGTTATGTCTGAACAGCCAAATAGGGATTCAATGTGTAAGGTGAAAGAAGTGAAGAAGAAGAAAATATGGAAAAGAACAATGTCACCCACATTACAGTTTATAGTTTTGGCTAGGGCTCAAATGGCAAGTGCTTGCTCTTCAACTTAAAGTCACCTTGTGTTTTTGGTTTCTTTTTAAATCAGGGTCTCACTTTGTCACCCAGGCTGGAGTACAGTTGCATGAACACAGCACACTGCAGCCTCAACCTCCCAGGCTCAAACGATCCTCTCACCTCAGCCTCCTAAGCAGTTGGGGCTACAGGCACTAGCCCAGCTATTTTTTAATTTTTTTTTTTTTTTTTAAGAGATGAGGATCTCACATTGTTGCTCAGGCTGCAGTGCAGTGGTATGATCTCGGCTCACTGCAATCTCCACCTCCGGGTTCAAACAATTTTCCTGCCTCAGCCTCCCAAGTAGCTGGGATTGCAGGCACACGCCACCACCTCTGGCTAATTTTTGTATTTTTAGTAGAGACAGGGTTTCACCATGTTGGCCAGGCTGGTCTCGAACTCCCGACCTTAGATGATCCACCTCTCCCGGCCTCCCAAAGTGCTGAGATTACAGGCATGAGCCCCTGCACCAGCATATTTCTCTATTTTACTAAATTAACACAAGGATTATGATTTTTGTTCAATCAGTTTTACTTCATTTATTGTTATTTATTGATTTCTTCATTTTATTTTATTTTATTTATTTTTTAAGACAGAGTCTCGCTTTGTTGCCCAGGCTGGAGTGGCACGATCTCAGTTCACTGCAACCTCTACCTCCCAGGTTGAAGCGATTCTCTTTTTTGTTGTTGTTGTTGAGACGGAGTCTCACTCTGTCGCCCAGGCTGGAGTGCAGTGGCAAGATCTCAGCTCACTGCGAGCTCCGCCTCCCAGGTTCACGCCATTCTCCTGCCCCAGCCTCCCGAGTAGCTGGGACTACAGTTGCCGGCCACCACGCCTGGCTAATTTTTTGTGTTTTTAGTAGAGATGGGGTTTCACCATGTTAGCCAGAATGGTCTCGATCTCCTGACCTCGTGATCCCCCTGCCTCGGCCTCGGAAAGTGCTGGGATTACAGGCGTGAGCCACCGCGCCAGGCCTCAAGCGATTCTCTTGACTTTGCCTCCCAAGTAGCTGGGATTACAGGCGCTCACCTCCACACCTGCCTAATTTTGGTATTTTTAGTAGAGATGGGGTTGCGCCATGTTGGCCAGACTGGTCTCAAACTCCCGACCTTAGGTGATCTGCCCGCCTCGGACTCTCAAAGTGCTGGGATTACAGGCGTGAGCCACCGTGCCCGGCCTTATTGTCCTTATTTATTTGGACATTCAAATTATCCCAGACTTGGTCAGTGGAAACCCCTTCAAGCTGGCTTCTGGATCTTCTGAAATGTCCTCAAAATATTGAAGGGGCCTTTTTTCCCTGCCCCAGTCCCAGAATCAGTCATTTCTCCAAGAAGCCCTGGTTCACTTTAAAGAATAATAGTATTTAGAGTCTAAGGTCTGGGTGGTATTGGTATTTTTTTTTTTTTGAGACGGAGTCTGGCTCTGTTGCCCAGGCTGGAGTGCAGTGGCGTGGTCTCGGCTCACTGCAAGCTCCACCTCCCGGGTTCACGCCATTCTCCTGCCTCAGCCTCCCGAGTAGCTGGGACTACAGGGGCCCGCCACCACGTCCGGCTAATTTTTTGTATTTTTAGTAGAGACGGGGTTTCACCGGGTTAGCCAGGATGGTCTCGATCTCCTGACCTCGTGATCCACCTGCCTCAGCCTCCCAAAGTGCTGGGATTACAGGTGTGAGCCACCACACCCAGCCAGTATTGGTATTTTAACTCTAAAAAAGAAAAGATATGCTTTGTAGGACCACTGTCTTCAGATCCATTCGTGAAAGAGGTACATAAGATGATACTTGGGATGACAAGATTATAGGAGTTCTGAAAGAAAAGGGCACTTTGGAATGTATAAGCAAGTATCTCAGCTTGGCCAACCACTGTGACTTCCTCTACACAGCTCACTCACCCTGACTGTGCAGACTAAAACACTGTAACTGAGTCTTTACAGTCAAGATATTCCATGTACTTTCTCTGAAGGCGTATCCAACTCTACAAGAATGTGAAAATATCTTCAAATTCCGTAGAAGGTTATTTGTATTTTGTCTGCTACCAAGTTCTTATGTATGGCATAAAAGCTTTCCTTTATGCTACTAATAGAAACAAGTAAAATACCAAGAGCAAGGGCATCACAGACTAAAGAAGATCAAGAATACGGAATACAAAAAATCTGTTTCTAGTCTAGACCCAATACATTAAAACTGCACTCAGGCTAACCTTATCCACACACAATGGCCAAAGAAGTAATCAGTGTGAAATGCAAAATTTACCTGGCTAAGTTATATTAAGTGGTCTGTGAAACAAAGACATAATGGAATCTTCTTTTCTAACATGAATTTTTAAAATACTTTACGGTCTTTATCCCCAAAAGCTTTCTACAGACAACAAGCAACTAAAGAACAAAATATCTAAAGTACAAATCTAACATTCAAAAAGATGGGGGGCGGTGGGGAGACAAGAACAAAAGTAAAAACCATTCTGCATACATATTTTTTAAAACAAAATTCACTTGGATTCTTTCTTTTTTAATTAATTACTTTTTTTAATGTTGGTGTCTCACTCTGATGCCCAGGCTGGAATACAGTGGCGCAATCACAGCTCACTGAAGCCACTAACTCCTGAGCTCATGTAATCCTCCTACCTTAGTCTTGCAAATAGCTGGGATTATAGGTAGGTACAAGCCACGGCACCCAGCTCCAGAATTGTTTCTTTTTAAAGTACAGACTCTGTACTAAATTGTAAATCTTCTTTCCATAGTATAATGCACACTGTACAGAGGCTTTTGGGACACAGGTTTTTAAAACCACCAAGGAGAGTCAGTGAATATAAATGATGATTATGTACTTAAGTAACAGAAATTTCATATATATATTATTTATGATATATATTAAATAACCTGAGTTTCTGAAGTATACACATTGGATAAAGGAATATAATGGAAAAATATAGACCCAGGAATTAGGAGACCCGAGATCTCATACACAAACTCATTGTGCAACCTTGGGTAAATTAGTTAACCTTTATGGACTTTCATACTGTCACCTGCAAAATGAGGCTGTTAGAGCTGATAATTTTATAATTTTTAAAATTATTTTATCTGCTATAAATACTTATTTCACTACATATCATCAAGAAACAGACCTTAAGCTAAATAGGAATGAGTGGTCTTAATAGTAAATGCCCTTGCGCTCCCTGCAAGATTATTGTATCAGAAGAATAACTTGCATTTTAAAACAGCTAACACTTACTGGAAATCTACTGTGTGTGTCAGGCACTGTGCTAAGCTCTTTACGCACATTAACTCACTGAACCCTCATCACATGCCTCTGGTAGGTATTACTGTCCCTCACTGTTGACAGGACTCGGAGTCGTTAGTACACCCAGGGTCACAAAGCTGGTAAATGACAAAGTTAGGACTCAAACTAGGGGTGATTCCAAAGTCACCTTACTATCTGTCTATTCCACCTTCTAATAAATAAATCATGAGCCCAATACATTCTTATTTAATCTCTGGCAGGAACTAATTTTTTTCCTCGTTTTTCGTAGAGACAAAATTGCTACAACTGGCAGCCAACCAAGAAACAACTTCAAATTCATCATATAATCCATCTTTTTTCTTTTCTTTCCTTTTTTTAGACAGGATCTTGCTCTGTCACCCAGGCTGGAGTGCAATGGCACCATTTTGGCTCACTGCAACCTCCACCTCCTGGGTTCAAATGATTCTCCTGCCTCAGCCTCCTGGCCTCAGCTGGGACTACAGGCACATGCCACTGTGCCTGGATTATTTTTCTATTTTTTGTAGAGACGGGGTTTTCTATTTTTTGTAGAGATGGGGTTTTATGTTGCCCAGGCTGGTCTCAAAAACTCCTGAGCTCAGGAAATCCATCTGTCCTGGCCTCCCAAAGTGCTGAGATTATAGGCTTGAGCTACCGCACCAGGCCTGGTATCCATGTCTTAAAGAGAAGTGTGTTTTTGGTTATGAGCAATATTTCCTTTTAATAAAACAAAAGGAAACAGCAAAAGTCACAAAACCTAGAAGACCGGCAAGGATCTTAAGGGGTAACACTATCTTATTTTTCATTCCGTTGCCTCCAGGAGAGAAGACCTCATTACAATTACCCCAGGGTAGGAACTGGGGAGCAAGTGAGGGGGCTCCCAGAGAACAGGTCTTCTGACAGCATCAGTGGTGGTTCCCAGTCTCCCTCATTATTTCACATTGACTGCATAACTCTGAGTAACAACATACATTTTCAGAGACTGAGGCCTGACAACAAAGATTCTTTCCTGCTTCACGTTGGGCCACTTCAACTGGCTAGGCTGCTCAATCGTAGAACAACTGTGACTTAAGTGACAATCCTCTTGCTAGTTACATGGCATTTTAAGAAGCAGGGTGAATATGATCACCTACATACAAATCCATGCACTGGAAAATAACTACTACGGCTCACTCTCATCCCCCCAGGAGCCCAACGTGGGCCTTTTCCTATATTTTCTCAATACACTTTCTCAAGACACAAGTTGTCTCTCAAATAAGCTCTCGAGCAGAAAATCTCTCTCAGATGACTTTCAAGCCTAGAAATCACCATTTCTGACAAGCTGTGAACAATGAGGGTATTACACCACAGAACAAACCAGGATCCACAAATAAAGACACAAAAAAACAAAACATCCAAAGAGATAAAGTCATTTGGATGGGGATGAATTTCATAAACAAAACTACTTATTTCAATTCTCTTTATTCCTCCTATAAACAAATTTCTCTAAAACACAATGTCTTTCAACCAAAGAGAGTATTGGTTTCATATATTGTCTGACCCTCAAACCCACTTTCAGTCTCAAATCTGAGCTGATATTCTCAAAAAGTTGACAGAAATTACAAAGCTGAGCCTGTGAGCCTTGTGGATCTACTCTGTGTCTCACTCAGGCAGAGAAGAAAAAAAGAGTATCAGAACATTACCCTTCTTTGATCCGACCCTGGAAGACGCACTGAAGAATTTCTTCACTGTGGTAACTTCTTGGTAACCTTACGGGTCTTCGTTGGTTTTCTTTTCTTCAAACTTGGAGAATGTGAGATTGGGCCCCTTGGCTGCTCTGACTGCTGGCAAAGGCCTCTTCTTCCTCCCATGGAGTCTGCAAATTCAAGAAAGGATTAGAATGATCTAGATATTCTTCAAGGTTTCTCTTTATCTGAAGGTTATTACTGCATTAATTCAGGAGGATCTAAAGATTTTAGAACTAGAGACTAAATAGCCAAATCAGCCTGAGGTCTCACACTTAGCTACAGGATGGGGCTGCTCTTCATGCACTACAGATTTCAAATAGGATCTTCTCATGCTCATTCAGCAACTGCTCTAGGGCTACATGAAGAAATCCAAGTCTAGTCCTTTTCCCTAACAAGCTCAAGGCTGGAACAGAGAAAAAGGTAAGTAAACAAGTACCCATAATGGGACAGCTGCTACATTAGAGTAAACATTGAGTGCTGAGAACACAGGAAAGAACAACTCAATCTGCTGGGGGAGTCTGTTGGGGCCTTACCACAGTGATGTTTGGGCTGGGTCTTAAAGGATAAATAGGATCCTTTTTTTTTGGGTTTGTTTTTGAGACAGAGTGTCACTCCATCGCCCAGGCTGAGGTGAGATGGGTGCGATCTCGGCTCATTACAGGCCTCTGCCTCGAGTTCAAGCGATTCTCACGCCTCCCAGCCTTCCAGAGTTATTGAGACTACAGGCATACGCCACCACGCCTGACTAATAAGGCGAATAGTATTCTAAGTGAAAGGATATTCCAGAGAACTACAAATGGCAAGCCTGTGGTTTGCTTCACAACAAGCTGAATGTAGCCAGAGCACTGGGTGTGTAATGAATGGTGATGCTGGATACACAGTAGGCACAGAGAATAAGGAATCTTGATTGCTGACCACATTCTGGATTTCATCATGTGGTGGGGAAGCAAGAAAGACTGTAAATCCAAGAAGTTATCGTTGTCAGATCTGTGCTTTAGAAAGATGTACGGGTAGCTGTATGAACCACTTGAAGGGTAGAGGAAACTAGAGACAGGGACAAGAAGTAAAGAGTATATTACAAGGTTTTTAAGTAAAGAAAATAAGTACCTGGAAAATAGGAGTAGAAAAGGTAAAATTCAAAAGCCTTTTCTGAGTTGGAAGAAACAAAACTTGGTCAAGTTGTAGGTAGCAAGGGAGATGAAGGAGAAATTAAGAATGAAACCAAGATTTTTTAGCTAACTTGGTAAATAGTGATGCCATTAATTGAATCAGAAGGGTTAGGAGGAAAATGTTCAGAATGGGGAGAATAATAAATAAAAGCAATAAATTTGGCTTTGGATTAGCTGCATGTGAACCACCTGTATTAATTCCCAAACACAGGTCAGGTGCGGTAGCTCATGCCTGTAATCCCAGCTGAGGGAGGCTAAGGTGGCCAGATCACTTGAGCTCAGGAGTTTGAGACTAGCCTGGACGCATGGGTGAAACCTGTCTGCTACATAAAATATAAAAATTAGCTGGGTGTGGTGGCATACTTCTGTAGTCCTAGCTACTTGGGAGGCTGAAGCAGGAGGATCACTTGAGCCCAGGAAACTGAGGTTGCAGTGAGTCAAGACTACACCACTGCACTCCAGCCAGGGTGACAGAGCAGGGCCCTGTCTGCAAAACAAACAAGCAAAACAACACAAGCACTATCTAAAAGATAATGATTTTCCAAGTGTGATTCCCCAGACAGCAGCAGCAGCATCACCAGGCAACTTGTTAGAAATGGGAGTATCTGGTCTTACTCTCAAGCTACTAAGATCAGAGACTCTGAGGTAAGGTCAGCAGTCACTGCTTTTACAAACTTTCCAAGTGATTTAGCAGAGTCTGAAATTAAAAGCAGTAGAAATAGAACAAAAGGAAGTCACAGGTGGAGGTGCTAAGCCTGAGGATGGAATCAGGACACCTCTTTCTTTGGGACAGACAATAAGTTAATATAAAGGTATTAGTACATTTTTATGTGGCGAGGGGATGAAGCTGACGGAGTGCCGTTACTAGTGGCCTCTACTCTGTTTTGAAACAGGATCTGCTGCCCTTTTTAGACGTATGAGGAAACCCTGGGGAGATCATTCATGTTCTGGGCTAAAATTTTCTCTCTTTGATTGACAACAGTCACTGAAAGCAATGTGTGATTTCTAATTCTCTGCGTTCACCACAGATGTCAGCAAAGTAGTCACTCAACAAATATTGGCTGACTGGATGAAAAAACAAAAACTAGCTAGAGGGAGTTGGAGGAATTCCATTTGACTCTCTTCTGTTGAAGCAGTTTCAGAATTTCTAGAATGCTCTGGCAAAGAGCATTTTATTGAATTACTATATCACTAGCCTTCCCATTATTTATTTATTTATTTATTTATTTATTTATTTATTTATTTATTTATTTTTTGAGGCAGAGTCTCACTCTGTCTCCCAGGCTGGAGTGCAGTGGCACGATCTCAGCTCACTGCAACCTCCAACACCTGGGTTCAAGCAATTCTCCTGCCTCAGCCTCCTGATTAGCTGGGATAACAAATGTGCACCACCACACCCAACTAACTTTTTAAATATTTTTAGTAGAGACTAGGTTTCACCATGTTGGTCAGGCTGGTCTCAAACTCCTAACCTCAGGTGATCCTCCTGCCTCAGCCTCCCAAAGTGCTAGGGTGGGCGTGAGTCACTGCACCCGGCTCATCATTTAATTTTTTTAATTTTTAACATCATTATTTTCTGGATAATACCAACTGCCTTTGACCTAATTTTTGAAAAGTTAAATTTCTACAATGCAATGACTATACAAGTCAACAGATTTCTACTACTGTGTTTTATCATAGGCTAGATGCAATGCTGAATATATTATATTAAAAGAATGAGGGAAATAATGCTTGATGAGTGCCATTTGCAAGCCCTGCACTGGGTACATGTTATTAGCTCATTAATCTTCACTAGGAAATATGTCTATCTCCATTCTTCCACTCCAAGGAGCTTGTATCTAAATGTGAGAACTAAAACTAACACAACCCAAAGAAAATAATCAGAAGTTAAGACAAACACAAAATGAAGAAACTACTGAAAGCTGTTCATTAAAAGTTAACTGAGAAGAGGGCAACACATCCTTTTCCTTAATATTAAACTGACGTGCTGATAGCTTAGTAAAGTGAAAAATGCATTTGGAAGGTGACGGAAATTTCGGTATCCAGTCGCGTCACTGTTCAATCACCCCTAGTTAAGTCCTTTTGCAGCTCCTTGGCTCCCAGTCCTCCTGAATCTGCTTCTGCCTGGCCTTGTGGTACTCTTCCCTCCAGCACTTGGAGCAGAAACCCTGCCAGGCTGGGTTGCCGTAGTAACCACATCCTTTCTTACTGGGAGGTCCGGCCCAGTCCACATGAATTCCTCGACGTTCAGACTTCAGGCTCATCTTCTTCCTGCCCTAACCAATGAACAAACAAGAAAGTGCTATTTGAAAATGGATTGTCATTCTACTAACTAAAATCTTACCAATTATGAACAAAAAGTGAGTCATTCCATTATCTTCAAGCTGTAGAGGGAAGAGAGAAGGAAATGAAGGAGGGAGGGAGGGAGGAGGAAGAAAGAAAAAAGAAATGTTAAATATAGTAAATTTCATAGCACAGCCAAATGAAAGACTTATTCCTTTATACCCACTTAAAATACAAAAAAAAAAAAAAAAAAATTTAAGAAAGGGCTAACATTAAAGACTTAAACGTAAAGGCTGGAAACTAGAAAACTCCTGAAGAAAAACTTGGGGAAAAGCTTCGACACTGGATTTTATAGCGACTTCTAGGATATGACACCAAAACCACAGGCAACAAAGCAAAAGAGTCAGACAAATACATTCATCAAACTTAGAAAATGTCTGCACAGGCTGGGCGACTGTGGCTCGCCCGTAATCCCAGCCCTTTGGGAGGCCGAGGGGGCTGAAGGTGACAAGGTCCCAGGAGATGGGGCCATCCTGGCTAACATGGTGAAACCCTGTCTCTACTAAAAGAAAAAAATACAAAAAAATTAGCCGGGCGTTGAGGAGTGGCTCATGCCTGTAATCCCAGCACTTTGGGAGGCCAAGGCAGGCAGATTATGAGGTCAGGAGTCGAGCCATCTGGCTAACATGGTAAAACCCGTCTCTACTAAAAATACAAAAAAATTAGCCAGGTGTGGTGGCGGGTACCTGTAGTCCCAGCTACTCGGCAGGCTGAGGCATGAGAATGGCGTGGGACAGGAGGCGGGCTTGCAGTGAGCCATTCTGTGAACAACACACAGAATGAGAGAACATATCTGCAAACCACATATCTAATAAGGGGTTAATATCCAGAATATAAAGGAACCCTGACCACTCAATAACAAAAAAACCAAGATAATCTGGTTAACAAATGGAAAAGGACTTCCAAGACAATTCTCCAAGATATACAGCAGCCAACAAACAAGTGAAAAAGTATCATCACTAATCATCACAGAAATGCAAATCAAAACCACAATAAGATATCATTTCATACCCATTAGGATGGCTACTGTAAAAAAACAAACCCAGGATGCACACAGTGGCTCATGCCACTTTGGGAGGCCAAGGTGGGAGGATCACTTGAGGCTAGAGGTTCAGGATGCCTCAACCTGGCAGACCCATCTACCAAAAAATGCAAAAACTAGCTGGGTGTGATGGTGTATGCCTATAGTTCCAGCTACTCGGGAGGCTGAGATAGGAGGACTGCCTCAGCCCAGGAGTTGGAGGCTGCAGTGAGCCATGATTACACCACTTCCACTCTCCAGCCTGGGTGACAGAGCGAGCCTTGTCTAGAAAGAAGAGGAGAAAAAAATTGAAATAATATAATTTCCAAAGTCAGTTTTCTTTTCTACTGTGTAATATTTAAACTCATTTGTTCATAGTCTCACAGCTGTATGGTAAATCGCTATGCAACAATTTCCTTTCAAACTGAAACCACATGGTCTTCATTCTTCTCACAATAAACTGCCAAACAAGCACAGAGAAAAAAGCAGCACTCCTCACCATTCATTCAGAGACACACATGTGCAGATAAAATTGGCCCCTATATCTTGGGGATCTTATTAATTTAACTCAAACATTTTACTAGGAGTGCCAACTGTGTGCAGAGAATTGAGCTAGATGGCACTGGTGATGCAACTGATAGAGCACGTCCTTGCCCTCATGAAGCTCATAACCAAAAGCACAGGCAGACTGAAAAATGCAGAAAAAGAGAGTGTTAGAAACTGTTGGGGAAGCAACAGACATAGGACTTCTGACATAGGGAGTATAGAGACCACTTGGGGATGCTGGTGACAGGCCTTAAGGAAACCTTGTGTTGAAAGGGTCTCGGAAAGATGACAGAAGAGGAAGGACATTCATGGACAGGAAGGATGCAGCACTACAAAAGCTCAGAAGCAGGAAGGCAAATGTAAAATATGAATGATTTGTATAGACAGAAGGTAAACTAAACAAGTTAGGTGGGAAGTCAAATCATGATAGCTTTTAAAACTCCCTAAGCTACAGAGTCTGGACTGAAAGTCAACACTGAAAGCTCCTGGGAAAGCGTGGTAAGATCTCTATCTTAAGACATAAAACTTGAGATTTAGAGTTCTGTCTTCTAGCATGACCAAGTGAGAAGGAAAATAAATCCTGCAAAAGCAACTGTAAAGATGGACAAACTTCCACTTTGCGATGCATCTATGTCCAGATCAAGGAATGAACTCAAATTTCAAGCCCTCCCCTCTAACTTTGCTCTTATTTTTGCAGGTTTCTCCTGTATCTCCTCTGTGCATGCACAGGCTCTGCTGATCAGAGTGGAAGCCTAACTAAAGACTGAGATGTTTGGGCGCAATCTCAATCTTTGTCTGAACGAACAACAATCTTTGGCTGAATATTTAAGGTGTGCAGACACAGGGGTGACAGCTAGAAGGAAGTCAGGCATAAATGAAAACAAGGAAGAAAAATTGAGCACAGCGATTGCAGTTGCTGGGGAGAGAGGCCTCACAGATTTCACCCAGCTATCAAACCTGGACAGTATGCACTGTGCGCTACTTTTGAGGATTACAGAAAAGCAAAATGCAGGAGAGTGGGGAAGACCAGAATTGGAAGTATCACCTTGTGCTTCGTCTAAGTTACCTCCTTCTCCCATCCAATACCACCAGCCAACCTGAAATGGGCCCCACCCAGCACCCCCAGCTCCTCTAGATCGGGCTCCAGGCATGTGAAGGGAACTCATAACAGCCAGGAGAATATGAGGATCTCTCCACTTACCATCCCCACTTTCTCTTGACCACAGTGCCCAGCAATCGTGTGCTTTGTCTAGCTATGAACAAGAATGCAAACAAGCGACTCAGGGCATTTGTAAGAGAACTATAATTTCAATCTCTGTCCATAATTCTCAACAGCATTGGCACTCAGTGGTAGAAGAACATGATAAGTGGAATAACTAAACCACAGTTTCTGGACAAAGAAAAGGAAATATGAGCTCTGAGGAACAAAAAAGTATGGGAAAAATTGCTGAGAGAACTCGGAAAGCAATTTCTGAGCTTCACCCTTAGGCTGCATATGCATGGATCTGATGCTATTCAGTACAAAGGTTTCCTAAATTGAGACTAACAGAGGGTCACTATGCAGATCTCAGATCAGCACATGCATGAAACAGATGGAAACAGCACTACAGCTCTGAACAATGAACTGACATTAAAGCCACAGCCCACAGAATCTGCATCCCGAACTTGGCAACAAAACATTTTGCTCTGGGAATAACTGTTTAGAAAATAAAAAGACAAGCTACAGAATGGGAGAACATACTTGCAGCAAATCACCAATTTGGCAAAGAACTTACATACCCAGAATGTATAAAGAACTCTCAAAACTCAGTTGTCAGAAAACAAAACAACCAACTTAAAAAATGAGCAAAAACCTCAACAGACACTTTACCAAAGAAGACAGACACACTGGTGTTGCACATTTCCGTGAGAAGCCTTTGCTACATACTGTCCAGTCAACAATGTTTGTATATTGAACATCCTTACAAGAGAAAGATGATAGTTCCTTCCACAGCAGAAGACAATTTGTTAACTGTCCAGTACAGTAAATATAAGTATCTCCCTTCACATCAAAGGTTTGGAAACGTTTGTTTGCCACCCCCTTATGGAGAGCTCAGTTCCTGAGCTTGGATTTCCTACTTGTGTCATTGCCCACAGGGAACACCTGGACAAAGGTAGTCAGTCCATGTGGACATGGAAGCTGGTTCTGCTGATGTCCTGTGACCTGTGTCCTCCTCTTTTGCCTCCAACCAAGAAGTTTGTCGTCTAGGGACAATATCCATGCAACTATAGGAATAACTTGCTACTTTTAAGTAGGAGATTTAAAACTCAGGTCCCTTGCAGTTATTGTGGTGGCAAAGAAGCACATGAATAGTTGTTCAACACTGTTCAGTCATTAGAGAAATGCAAACTAAAACCACCATGAGCTGTCACTATTAGAATGGTCAAAATAAAACATACTGACAGAGCCTGGGCAACATGGCAAAATCCTCTCTGCAAAAATACAAAAAAAAAAAAAAATTAGGCAGGGATGGTGGTGCATGGATACGGTTCCAGCTACTCAGTAGGCTGAGGTGGGAGGATCACTTGAGCCCGGGAGGTGGAAGCTGCAGCAAGCCAGGTATCCATCACACACTGCACTTCAGCCTGGGTGACAGATGAGACCCCACCTCAGAAAAAAAATAAATACTGACAATACCAAGTGGTGGCAGGGATGCAGAGCAACTACAACCCTCATACATTCCTAGTGGAATGCAAAATATACAGACACTAGAGAAAACACTTTTATAGTTTCTCAAAAATGTATACATACAATGACCATCCAACCATGTAATCCCTCTCCTGGGTATTTCCTCTAGAGAAATAAAAACTGCTATTTGCAAAATTCTATACACAAACAGTGATAGTAGCATTATTTGTGATGGCAAAAAAATGACAACTAAAATATCCTTCAATGGGAGAATGAATAAACAAACTATGGTACATCCACACAACAGAATGCTACTCAGAGAAAACAACAGCAGGTATCAGTACCCAACAGCGATGAATCTCAAGGCTTTATGCTGATGAAGCCAGCATCTTAGTTCCTTCTGGCTGCAGGAACAAAATACCATAAACTGGGTAGGTCACAAAAAACAGAAATTTATTTCTCACAGTTCAGGAAGCTGGCAAGTTCAAGATCAAAAAGTCATCAGATGTTGGTGTCTGGTGAGTTCAATGGAAGAGTACCTTCTCCTGTGTCCCTCCCTTGGTGGGAGGGGAAGACAGGCTAGGCTCTCTGCTGTCTCTTATAAGGGCACTTATAAGCCCCAGTCATGGGGGCTCCACTTTCATGAACTACTCACCTCCCAAAGGCTCCCACCTCTAGTAGCATCA